GTAGAGCGTTCACAAGGAAATCTCTACGGCGGCGGCGGCGGCGCGACGATGCCAAACCCATAGTATCCCCACGAACTTCGTTCGGGGGATACAATTATCGAGGATGAAAACACAAAAAAGCGTGGCTAACACACTTATTTCCATTGTGGTCCAACATAACATTGTACATACTATACTATAAACTATAGCAAATATATACCCACGTATACTCTTGGTATAGATGTATCGATCACAGCAGAGCCACAGTTATTGCTGTTACACTGCACTATCCATGTTACTGCACAGAATTCATGGATACACACAGACCAACTTGTGATCTTCACAGATTCAAACAAAGATGCAATATCTTCATAAATTTATTATAAAATAACTAATGACATAATGGTGCCTAATCGTATAAAGCATAGGCAATAAATAAAACAACAAATCGCAAAGTGAAAATCACTATGTCATCCATATGCAGCGAACAATACTTAGTCAAAGGTACCAGGGCGCCCAAAAGCAGGGCGCTGAATAAAAGACATCTATTACATATTATCATGAAGATGTATGTATCCTATATCAACAATGTTACAATATTACATACGTTCGTGATATTATCCAAAACAGGTAAAATGCTGTCACTGTGGAATAATCACTTCTCGGTGAGAAAAGGGAATGTCATGATTACATTACACACTTGCAAATCCAACCAACAAGCTTGCATTCTGTGAAAAATTGCTACAAAATCTACTTTAGATACAAAGTTGGAGTTGTACACTACAGATAAATACAGTATAAGTTTCATTATCATAAACTGCTCGGGCATCTCTGTCGTAATGAACCTGGAGCATTTCAGATAATGTATAAACATTATAAACATGCATAGCACAAAAATGTCACCTCATATCACACTGAATGAATTTGCCACTCAATCATATCCTGGTAAACAGCATTTAGCAAGTTAGCATCTAAATTATGTTTGCCACATTTTATGCACCAAGTAAACATGTTCGGCCAGAAAGTTATTACATATAATTATTCGTGAAATAAATTTCTGCAAAAAAATGCTGTATGATAAAATCATCACGTGCCATGATGATTTAGGAGATTCTTGACGTAGACAATTTAACTGCAGCTGCATTTAAGGGGACAAGATGTGGTGTTTTAGGTACTGCCAGGAAGTTTGCTTGGCCAAGAAGACTGCCTACCGATGCTTGTCGCAGGCTGTTTCGGCGGTCAGCTTACAGCACATTGCTATAATATACAGCGGTTTTCCAGCAAAGATACATATTATATATGTATCACGATTCTGCCCCAGAAATTTAAGAAGGCATGTCGGGCAGTGGGCAATCTATCACCAATAGCCAATTGCAGTTAATTACACGTCTTAAAGAAAAGATTTCAAAATCATTGCTTAAAAATGCAAAATCTGGAAGAAATATAGTAAAATATAGTCTCACCTAATAGCAGACGTGATACTGATTACACCAACTTAAAAAACACTACGAATTTATGCTCTTATAACATAGAAAATTGGAATTGAACACATAAACCATGGCATTTGATTATAGTGACAATTAATTTGCAAATGGTGCATTCAAAGCTAGTGCATACATAGTATACCTAACTCAAACAAAACGGCATCTGATTCTGTGTAGTAAACTCGGTGCAATTTAAAACATTACTAGTCGATCCCTAGCCGGTATCTCGAGCTATCACGATATAGTCCGAGATTCACAAGAAATTGGCAGCTGAAATCAAAACGAGTAATCAAAATTCGAATCCTACATATTTTGGTGGACATTGCTAACTACCAAGGTTCTAAGACATGTTAGTGTTACTCTAGACAGCTGCTATTACTCAAGCAATGATGGTAAGTATCGTGAAAGTGGGGAAAACACGAGACCGGTCGGAAATAATTTCTGAAATCCAAGTGCCCTCAATACAAGGGTACACTTGATCAGGTCTGACACATATACATCAAGCTGTAGAACATGGCATGACTGTGTTAGGATTATCAAAAGTAAACACTGCTGGAAATAAAGGCATGTTGATTAGGAAATTAAGGCACGTCAGAGGAATTATGGGATGTCGCAATGTAGCTCCGACTTTGAAAGCATGTCAGAGCAAAAATGCATTAAAGGCCTAGGGAGAACCAACCCTACATTTATAATGATTTTGAACATCTGGTCCACTGGAAATTACATTTACTTATAGCACCTATTATTGCTACACCCTGTTCCTTGAATCATACTTTTACTTGCACACATGAAATAATGTGAATCACAATAAATTTAGTTGCCACACAGATATTTTGGTCATTTTATATTATTTCTTTTAATAGAATTACTAATTTTACTAATTAAATCTATAGATCTATTGTGTGATGATGGCCTTAATATTGCATTACATTAACACATTTTTGAGGTATTATTTGGCTATTACCAAGATTAAAATAAATAATTTAACAACGAATAAGTCACATGTAGTATGATCAAACATACTAAAGTGCCTCCTCTTACCGCCTCCCGTTACATTACAGTGCTAACAGACTACATCACGTTGTGAAAGCCACCTTGTGCATATGCAAGCAGGCAGTCAAGCTCCATAAATTCATGCGGGACTTAATCCCAGGTGTTTGATACTCTGACTAGGAGACAATCCCAAACTCATGCATAGCATCTATGGGAGGTCCAGCAGGTTACTAGCTTCATACATCTCCTGTGTGACGTCATACACCGGCTGCGCCGCCTGCACAATCTTCTGGAGTGACCCCTGCATCAATGAGTGGTCTAACTGGTGGCCATTGTTCTCAGCGACAATCTTAGCGAGACCGTGAACGTTCGGCAGCGCGTACATCGCGAGGCCGACCGCTTGGCGGACCAACCACGGATGGTAGTGCCGCAGCGTCGTGTCGTACGCTTTGTGCCCGATGGATGAGACGTGATCGTCGAGCGCCGCTGCCGACAGCTTGTCGAGGAACTCGATGATAAACTTGAGCGCCCTGTGCAGCCGCAGCAGCGTCCGGCAGCCCGAGGCGAGCTTGTGGCGATCGTGAACGACCGTGATGCTGTTTGACACCTCATAGTCGACCATGTCGCGAATGGAGGAGTAGTGGGTGCCGACGTCCGACTGCAGGTGACCGGTCAGTATCGTGCACTTCTCGTGGATGTCCGATGCGACGAATGTGAACACTCTGCCCATGTGATGGAAGAATCTGCGAAAGTATTTAATGTAGTTTATAATAGGTTATAATAATACTTGATATTAAGTTTCATTTCACTGCAAGTAGAGTGAGTGAAAATAATTTCTGTGGCTGAAAAAAAACCTTCTTTTAGCAACTGTTATAGAAGATAATGGCAATTGTGTGGGTTACTACTTTATCGTGGAAGACAAGACTGGTTAATTGCTCCTAAGTTTGGCAGTAAAACCAACGTTGGTTAAAATGAAAACAATCATTATTATTAAAATTAAACAGCCTCACACTGCCACTGGTGCGAACCCAGCAGAAGCTAAGACTAAGTAACACTGTTACAAAACCATCTGTTACAAAACCATGCAAAGGGCTGTATCCGCATTATATTAATGGTGCAGACTATGTACAGTCAATATAAAAGGTAATATCGGAAAAGCGTTCAGTTGAGATTCTTTCCGAGCATGATGAATAGGATTAGGAAGCCACTTGCCGGTGTCGCGCAAAATTCCTGACGTGTGCGAAATACATGATATAGGATGCGTATGTGCATGCGTGCCGACCCGACCAATCACAGCTCGTCTTTGTGTTACGATAAGTTGTGTACACTTGGACGAACACAAACTGTGTTGTAATGTTTATATAAGTAGAGTTTAGTGTTGATAGGTAGAGATTGTAGTTGATATTCTAATTGATCAAAAACGACACGGAGCGTCGTTGAAGAAAGCGGTCACAGTTCACACGACGTTTGATCGATCAGTTCTTGGACATGCCTCTATGGTATGTGAGCTGCCTGCTATGCGAGCTGCGAACTGAGAAAAAAATACAATGCGTCCAAGCGAACAATCAAGCAAACAATGTGAATTAAACAATCAAACTCTGGCATACGGTACGCATTCTTACCTATTAGTATTAACTATGGTATATCATGTGGACATGTATTTCGCAAGTAAGGAATTTCGCGCTAGGCACCGGAAACGACTTACCGCCGGTAACAACTTGTTAGCAGCGACAGCCAGGGGCGTCACAGCCATAGGGCTGCCGTAGCAAAATGCTACGGGCCCCCGCCTAAAGCCGTAAAGGGGTCCCAAACTTTCAAAATAGCCTCAGAATGCTGGAAATAGCATTTTAGAGCGTCTAGATTTCAAAATTTTCTGGGGACCACCCAGACCCCTCTTTCCCACTTTCTACCTCCGGCACTCGTCCCCACAGGCACTTGAAACGTCTCAATAAAAAAAATTTATGGTAAATAAACACGAAATGTACCAAAGTCTTAATGTTTCTCTACTCGATTTCGCCTATAATCAAGCCGGTCAAATGCTCATCTGCAACACACAAGTACATTGCACGCCTGCCCTGTGCTGCGTGCACAAACAACATGAATAGGAGAGCAGGTAGGAAAGCGTGATCGCGAAATTCGCTCGAAGCTCGCTTAATTTCACACGATCACAGAACGAAAACACATCCAACAGCTCCCATCTTGGTATCTATGTGTACATAAATGTTCACTTGTTCGAATTATAACTCTGGCCTTCAAATCGATCAAAAGTAGCGCCGTTAGGGATTTTCGGATGATACGTCCTCTTTACATTTTCACGGAGAGAAAATTTCCTGCAGGATTTTACGAGATATCTCTGGCGGGAGTAGATAAGAACAAAGTCAAAGGCCAGAGTTATAATTCGAACAAGTAAACATTTATGTACACATAGATACCAAGATGGGAGCTGTTGGATGTGTTTTCGTTCTGTGATCGTGTGAAATGAAGCGAGCGTCGAGCGAATTTCGCGATCACGCTTTCCTACCTGCTCTCCTATTCATGTTGTTTGTGCACGCAGCACAGGGCGGGCGTGCAATGTACTTGTGTGTTGCAGATGAGCCTTTGACCGGCATTTACAGGCGATTTACCGCCGATTATAGGCGAAATCGAGTAGAGAAACATTAAGACTTTGGTACATTTCGTGTTTAGTTACCATTAATTTTTTTATTGAGACGTTCCAAGTGCCTGTGCCTGTGCTCGTGCCGTGCGCCGCATCAAAAAATATTCATGTTTAGGTCCCCAATTTCATTTTTTCTTACAGGACCCCCAATCAATGTCAATGAATCATGTTGTGACGCCACTGCCACTGGCGACAGCGTGCTTTTCTACAAAGTAAAGTTAATTATGAGGCTAACTTACTTGTTTAATTCTTCAAATGCACTAATATATAGACTCATGTCTACTTTCTTATCAATATCTTCTATACAACGCGCGAAATTCTCCGCAATTGTATCCAAATTAAATGTATCATGGTGATTGTTAGCTATGGAGGACGCCATTTTTGAATGACTATTGGTTTTACGTATCTTACGGAGGTCTATATATACCACTGATCTCTATAATATATTATTATAGAGATCAGTGATATATACAGCCAACACATCGTACTGATAAACTAATAATGCAGATTATTTTTTTTTATACATAAATTGATATTTATTTGGTAAATATTGTACATTCTAGTTCCTTGTAATTATTGATAGTAAATTATGGACGCTTGCTCAGTATCCCGGTTTTTGTACTAGTTTATAAGTAGACTGGAACCTGTCCCTTCTCTCAAGCTCTATATAGGAAGCTTGTGAGAAGGAACAAGTACCAGTCTAGTTCACAAGCAGACCACAAACCGCAGGTGGCGGGAAGTTATATTCGTGTTTACCTCGCTGGTTACTGTTTAACTAATTTAGGCATACAATAGTAACTTACTAACTACTACTAATCTTGGTATGTCAAATTCATATGTGTATGATCCAGTGCGTGCCTGTAGAGTATATGTATGACTTGCACATGAGCTATATTATAATGACTGACATTGACAATTTCAAAGAGCGCGCGTGTAGCCTACACGACAGACTCAGTACAGAGTACAGGGGGAATCCCTGAAGCATGCGCGTGTGTGCGTAATTCACTGATTTCGTACCTATTTATGCGCGTGTACTTACATAATAAATACATATGCATGTATACATGCGTGATTGGGCGTGCGAATATATTTGTGTATGCGTAGGCCTATACATGTGAGCGCTCGTATGTACGTGACCACTGAACGAACTGACCATGATGTGACTCGCGATCACCCCGTGACGTGTAGATGCGTGCGTGCATGCGTACGTGCGTGCGTGCGTGCATGCATACGTGCGTGCGCGCGTGCGTGCGACGGTGCGTGCCAGCGTACCTATTTATGCGCGTGTACTTACATATATGCATGTATACATGCGTGATTAGGCGGGCGAATATAATTGTGTATGCGTATACATGTGCGCGCTCGTATGTACATGTGACTCGCGATCACGCCGTGACGTGTAGATGCGTGCGTGCGTGCGTGCCTGCGTGCGCGTGTGTGTACGTTTGTGTACGTGCCTACATGTGTGTGTATGCGTACCTGCGCGCGTGTATATACGTTTTGCATATGTCATGTTGAAGTTGTTCTCTGGCATACATGTGATTTGGCATGATATGCGTTTGGCTTTTGCCACAATTGTATTACAATTCCTTAGTTAATGACAGCTTTGTTGGATAACATTGTTAAATTTGTGAGCAGTTTTAATTCACCACATCAAGTAATGACAAGTATAAAACTTGCTAAAAATATGTAAATCCGGAGATGAGTTTGGCAAATACATTACAGTAATTAAATTTCAAACAAATTCAAATTTAATGCCAAAGACATTTATTGATACTTTGCAACTTTACATAAAGATTACTATACTATCGTATACAATAAAAATAAGCTGCAAAAATAAAGTTGCAATAAAAACAAAAGTTGTAATAAAAATAAGCTGCAAAAATAAAGTTGCTTTAATTAAGCAATTAAAGGGCGAGTGGACAATTATATAGAAAAGAGATTACCTATATTCTACATATTTTTGGGTGGACTACACAGTTTCCAAAGTAAAATTAGTACACTTAAAATATCTATCTAATTTCCTCTTTGTAGGTCAGGTTACCTAGTTCTGATGGACCAAGTTCTAGTCATAGGTTCAGGTGGTAGAGAGCATGTTTTGGCATGGTCACTTTGCCAATCCTCTCAGGTGGGTAAAGTGTATATTAGCCCAGGCAATGCAGGATCCAGCCAGCTGGATAAGGTTTGCACTGTAGGTGAGTGTTGCCTAAATTTTCAAACCTTAATTGTGCCACTTCACTACCTAATCATTCTCACTCTGTGATTCTCACTCTTGAGGTTAGAGCATATATAGGCAATTGTAAAATATTGTTATGAAGTATACATACGTACACGTGCATGTAAACATTGCAGATCTTAGTTATTCTTTTCTAAAGACTATCCAATATGGCTTCATTTAGTGATAGCATTTCCTGTTTTGAACACATTGCTTTCAGACTTGAACCTAGATGCCCATGAGCAGTTGGCAGATTGGTGTGTAAAGCAAGGCATTGACATGGTGGTAGTTGGCCCAGAGGATCCTCTTGCAAAAGGTCTGGCTGACAGCCTAACTCAGGTACATTTATACAGGTGCAATGATGTCTCCATGACCTGCTGGTTACACGTTGATTAGTTACCTAGTTATTACATATAGTATTACATTCTTATTACATGTTGGTTAGATCGATTATTGGCAGATATTGGGTACAGGTTCACTACGTGGTGGTTACATGCTGGTTGTGAGCATCAGAGATAATGAATAATGAATTTAATATATACGAGATTGTATGAGATGTGTTTCTTTTCCTTACAGAGAGGCATCACTTGCTTTGGGCCATCTTCAAAAGCGGCTCGGATTGAGGCTAGCAAAGAATTTGCTAAATTGTTCATGGATGAGTTTTCTATTCCAACAGCAAGATGGAAGGCATTTACTGATGTCTCTGCTGCCATTGAGCATATAAATAGGTAATACCATCAATATGCACACTATTAAGTGACTTAATAGCAGTCTATATCTAATATACCTATCCGTGTGGGTGAGTTAACCACTCACCCTCTTACATATGGTTACTTGAATGTTTGAACTAGATCAGTGTATATCTGTTTTTCATATGTGCATGCCAAATTGTGGACTTTGCAGCACTTCAATACCAAGCCTTGTCTTTTAGAACGTCCTATTACAAAAATGATTGGCTATATTTGCATATCAATCATGCCAGGTGGTCAAGTCACTTCTCTCCCCACATCCAGTTCCAACATCCGAATTTGCCAACTGCCTTAACTGACAATCGGCAGTCAGTATTTCGAAGGTTAATCTGTGGATGGTAGCCAGTGTAAGCATGGTAGTATGAGAGACTACCTGAGTGAGCATGTCTGTTGCTTTCTAATCCTTATCGTTGCATTCCTTTCTCATTTACCCTATTCCTGACCTATGCATTGAAATTCTATTGCTTTAGAATATTTGCTCTCTCGATTAGTGATGGCACTAATTGGTTTTGTGTCGGTCATGGTGAATAAAATAGCCAGTTATGTATACAATAAAATATAGTCTCAAGTTATAGAATCAATGTGAGGTCTGTTACTATTCTTGCAGCGTGCCATACCCAGCTCTCGTGGTGAAGGCTAGTGGATTAGCTGCAGGTAAAGGGGTGATAATTACCAATAATAGGGAGGCGGCTTGCTGCGCTGTGAGAGCAATGCTTGAGGAAAGGACCTTTGGAAGTGCTGGTGACGTGAGTACACGTTCTGCAGCACTAACTCCTCAGAAATTGCTATTCGATGTCTGTAAACACAGGGTTTATAAAAAAGAATGGAAAATTACATTAGTGTATCGATTACTATTGTTATTATAGGTAATTATGAAGGAAATTACTTGAGATTTCTTATATGGTTTAGGACGTTTTTCCTTCTTTCCTTATAAACGAAAGAGGGAAAACTGCATGCGCTGCATGTATACATGCATATGTGTATACACAAGACAACAAGACAAGTAGTAGTTGTAACAACAATACTAACAACAACAACAACAACAATAGCAATTATATATGTTCTATGAGTGGTGTAGGAAACGCTAGCACGTTTCGCTGCTAGGTTGTGATAGTGTGTATTCGCAAGGCAACTAGAAAAGTAACAGTTGTAATAATAATATTAATAGCAACGAGATTAATAACGAAAGTCGATGTGAGTTGTTGGGAGAGAGGTTAGCATGTTTCGCTTGCAGGTTGTTGTGATCGAGGAGTTGCTTGAAGGACCCGAGGTTTCCTGCCTCACATTCTCCGACGGCACAAACGTCGCGATGATGCCACCTGCCCAGGACCACAAGCGTCTCCTAGATGGTGACAGAGGACTGAACACTGGTGGCATGGGAGCTTACTGCCCCTGCCCATTGGTAGGTAGATCAGTGGATGGGATAGTTAATTCTTATTTCCCCTGCCCCTTGGTAGGTAGATCAGTGGGTGGGATAGGTTCTTATTGCCCCTGCCCCTTGGTAGGTAGGTCAGTGGATGGGATAGGTGCTTATTGCCCCTGCCCCTTGGTAGGTAGGTCAGTGGATGGGATAGGTGCTTATTGCCCCTGCCCCTTGGTAGGTAGAACAGTGGACGGCTTGGGGTACTGCCCCTGCTCCCTGGTAGGTAGAGCAGTGGATGGGATAGGTGCTTACTCCTCCTGCCCCTTGGTAGTTAGATTAGCAGATTCGAATCATAGAGATTTCCACGTCTGGGCTCTTTTTTCCGACCGTACTCATTGAGGGTGCTCACGTGTCTAGTGTCACGTGCCTGTTGTCACTGCTTCAAGTTAATATATATACCTATTTGCCAGAGCAATCTATAACACCCCTCTTAGATATTGCTGCTAGCTCGATCAAGCTATACCTTAATTTATGTGCGTTTTTCACGCATGTATGCTAAATTGTCAACTTTGTGGTCACTTCATTGTTATGCAGCCTTTTACAACACAAATATCGCAACTTTCCCGTTGATCACTCCCAGCATAGAGGTCAACTCCATCGTCTTACATTCTCACGTCTTCACAGAGCACAACCCGAGCGATTTTTGCTGGTGCGTTGCAGATTTCTGATCGTGAGCTGGAGTACGTGCGGACGCAGGTCATACAGCGAGCCATCGATGGGATGAGGTCGCGGGGTCACCCGTACGTCGGCGTGCTCTACGCCGGCATCATGCTCACGGCGTACGGACCCAGAGTGCTCGAGTTCAACTGCCGATTCGGCGATCCAGAGACACAGGTGGGTCGTGTAGTGAGCAGTTGCGTCTTGCACGCACTCGTGGACCCGGGGCTTCCTGCTTCAAATGTTACATCAGTGGCGTAGTTAGGGTGGTCCAAAGGGGGCCATGGCCCCCCTGTTGATCCGAAAGTTTTAAAAAAAAAGAAAAAAAGAATTGTTCTACTAAAAAGAGAATTGTCGTTGTCAGAATGAAGGCTGTACATGTACTCAAAAGTGCCTCAAATACCATCTCCTGCGATCTACATTTTCAACATTTTCTGGGGGAGGACTCCCTCCTCTCCCCTCCTTGGAATCCTGGATCTGCCACTGAACAGTTACATATCTTGGGAGCAGAGAACAACGAACAAAAATGTCCCCTTTTTGCATGCTGCCCAAAACAAAGATTGCAGAGCTGAGAGGTGGGGGAGCATAGGGTGTGGAGAGGGAAGTGGAGCAACCATTAAAATAATAAGTCATCCACTATTTTGCGCAGTTCGCTGTTCCCTCCCCCCCTGTTAAAAAATCCTGGCTACGCCACTGCGTCACATGGGTTTAATCCTACCATTGAAAATAATTTTTGTTCTCCAACCAGATGCACGGTGCACGGCTTTATCAAGTATACACCAAGTAGTAATTTATTTTTGCCACACAGAGTTGATTGACCTATCCATCTGAGCAACCCCCCGGATATTGTTACTAGGTCACTCAAACTAAATAAGTTTATATGTGTTTTTCTTATGCGCATGCTGAATTGTCGACATTGTGACATTTTGGTGCTGAGAATTGTCTTTTTTTGAACGGCTTATCACAATGATTATTTAGAGTTGTCTGACAATCGCCCTAGTAAGCATAAGCCAATTATGAGGGTGCCAACTTCTTTGAAACGAATTTGTACACAATCGAAACTTCTGTATTGATTCTGTATCGTTATCAGAATATTGCCTTACGATTGTTGTGACAGTTGAAGACGTTGTAATCCTCTTTATTTAATGTTGGTGGTTTGGTATCGAATGAATGCAGGTGATCGTGCCACTACTGAAGACCGACCTGTACACTACGATGCGAGCATGTGTGGCCGGCAGCCTACCGTCACGCGAGCCTTCGTGGCACACAGACAAATACGCAGTGGCTGTCATCATGGCCAGCGGTGGTTACCCGGGGACTTATCAGCGCTCTCTACCAATAACAGGTGAATGTAAATGATTTGGGTATTGTGGCATGGCAGTGTACGTAGTTTTTGTTCAAAGGATTTGGTTATATTATTCAGCAATTTATGTAACTTTTTACCACAATTTTACACCACTATTGTCTATAGATGAGCCTATATATATTCTCTTACCTTTTGCCATCAGTCTGCATAGATGGGCACACATGCCTACATTTTACCATCAGTGCACATGCCTACATTTTACCCATCAGTTTGTCTAGATGGGTGCACATGCCTACATTTTACCCATCAGTTTGTCTAGATGGGTGCACATGCCTACATTTGACCCATCAGTTTGTATGGATTGGTGCACATGCCTACATATCAGTATCAGTTTGTATAGATTGAAATACGTATCTGTTTCAGGTGTCGATGACGTTGTCAGGCATCCTAACACCTACGTGTTCCACGCTGGCACCTCATTGGTCGAGGGACAACTGGTGACGAGTGGTGGGCGTGTCCTGGCCATCGTCGTGGTGAATGGGAGTCTGGTGACGGCAAAGGACATGGCAACTCAAGGAGCGAAGACAATCACATTTACCGGCGCTCACTACCGCAGCGACATCGCCGACATGGCATTGAGAAGGTAATTGACTCGTCCATCTTCACAAGATAACTACTCTTTATTTGATATTGTTGCCAGGTAGGTGGAGCTAGACTGCCATTTATAAAGGTTTTCACGTGTGCATGATCAATTGTCACCTTTGCAGCACTGCACTACTAAGCAGTGTGTTTATAGAATTTCTCTATCACAATGCCGATTGGCTAAATTGGATTCGGCTCTGGGGGGATAGATAAATTATCCACTATAGTTTATTTACTGCGTAACGTGTGAGTACGATGTAATTCTTGGCATAGATCCCTGCATGATGAGACGCCGAGAGCTTCACTGAGCTACGCTGCATGCGGGGTGGATGTGGCAGCCGGTGGTGCCCTCGTGGAGCACATCAAGCTGCTGGCGGCGCGCACCTCCCGGCCGGGTTGCGTCGGCAACCTGGGCGGGTTTGCCGGGGTGTTCGACGCGTGCTCTGCCGGCTACAGGCATCCTCTGCTGGTGTCCGGCACAGATGGAGTCGGCACTAAGTTGAAGGTACGAATGCATGGGAGGGACTAGCTCTGAGACCCACAGCAGCGTAAACCGTGGCATAACGTGGGGGTGGAAGTATGGGTGGGATTCATGGTGGTATGGGAAGGGAGGCTGATTATAGTATAGCACCGTGTGATCCTAGAATGGTGAACATACGTCGATGAGGTGAAAAGTATCTCCAACTTTAATCATTGAACCTACAATAAGTGACAATGTCACAGTAACAATAACTGAGAGGTAGCTCTAGCCAATCAGTGCTGCGATTTGGGCATTCTAAAAATGCTGCTAGGTAACAAAGTGCCACAAAATCGGCAATTGGGGTGCACTCGTGAAAACGCCGATGAACCGGTCTAGTTTTACTGGCCTAGCAACGATATCCAAAGCAGGTATTGTATTCTCGTTTAGCATTACAGGTTAATTAATTAGACCGTTGTCGTTCCTGCCGTCCGATTAGATCGCGCAGGCATGCGGCCGCCATGACACCATCGGCATCGACCTCGTTGCTATGTGCGTGAACGACGTTCTCGCCAGTGCAGCCGAACCCCTGTTCTTTCTCGACTATTTCGCCTGCGGGTCACTAGATGGCGCCATTGCCCGCGACGTCATTGCCGGAATCACGGACGGCTGCTGCTCAGCAGAGTGTGCGTTGCTAGGTGAGTTATTCTAGAGGTTCTTCTAAGGAATGTTACTGTTTTTCATTCAGATCAACCAGACCCACTGCTGTGCTTACATACATATATGTGTGTGTGTGTGTGTGTGCATGTGTGTGTGCATTAATTCGTGCGTGCATGTGTGTGTGTAATCTAGAGTAGGTTAAGAAATGTGTACAAATGTACATAATTAATAGTCCACATCTGGTGTAGTTACCTATTCTAAATTAAAAATTCCCAGTGTTCCAGGAGTCCCACTGTGCAAGAACCTGTGCAACTTAACCTTTGAATTCTCTGACGTGCGTACCGCCAGGTGGCGAAACTGCCGAGATGCCGGGGATGTACAGAAAGGGAGAATACGACCTGGCTGGCTTCGTCGTTGGCGCCGTGGAAATGAAAGACCTGCTGCCACGCTCCGTCGATATTCGACCTGGTAAGCAGCATTGGAGCAGGTTGGGTGGTGAGAAGATTGGGTAGGCTGGGTGGTGACCACTGACAAGATTGGGTTGACTGACTCACTGGGTGGTGACAAGATTGGGTAGGCTGTGTGGTGACAAGAGTGGGCTGACTGGGTGGTGACAAGAGTGGGTTGACTGGGTGATGACAAGAGTGAGTTGACTGGGTGGTGACAAGATTGGGTAGGCTGGGTGGTGACCACTGACAAGATTGGGTTGACTGACTCACTGGGTGGTGGCAAGATTGGGTGGGCTGAGTGGTGACAAGAGTGGGTTGACTGGACGTGATGACAAGAGTGGGTTGACTGGACGTGATGACAAGAGTGAGTTGACTGGGTGGTGACAAGATTGGGTAGGCTGGGTGGTGACAAGATTGGGTGGGCTGGGTAAAGCCGAGTGGGTTGACTTGCTAATGATAGGATTGGATAGATATTGGTAGTGAAAAGATTGAGTTGACTGGGTGGTGACAAGATTGGGTTGACTGAATAATGACAAGATTGGTCAACTGGGTGAAGACAGGAGTGGGTTGACTGGGTGGTGACAAGATTGAGTGGGCTGGGTGAGGACAAGTTTGGGTTGAGTAAATGTTTTGAAAGCGTGTGACCGTACGTGCACCTGTGTTGCTGTTGTGTAGCGGATGTAGTCATAGGAATAGCATCATCTGGGCTTCATAGCAATGGCTTCAGCATGGTGAGGAAGGTTGTAGAGATGTCTGGTCTCGGATACAAAGACGCATCGCCGTTTGGAACTGGACACACATTAGGTAATCACTAGTGACGATTATTAGTACTGAATGGTATGATTTTCCAGGCAGGAGTTGCGATTGTGGCTGAGATACATTTGCAGAAATCCTGTCTCTGCGTCATGTTGTATAGCATGTACTAGTAAAAAGTGAACCATACGTGACGGCATACCATCACAGACAGTCAAACCTGTGTGAGCAGCCACATCTATAGAACGGCCACCTGCCATTAAAAGGCCACGATTGCAATATTCCTTGAGTGGCAGTTATACGATAAAACCACTTTCATATAATGGCCACCTCTCTACGAAGGCCAGGTTTGACGGCATTATGTGCGGGTTTCGACCGTGCGAGCTTGTACCGTGGCTGTATGTGTGCGTGTGCGTGTCTCTCTGGTAGGAGCTGATCTGCTTGTGCCGACGAAGATCTACAGCAAGTCTCTGCTGCCGGTGCTGCGCGGAGCCCACGTCAAGGCCTACGCTCACGTCACGGGAGGCGGCCTGCCCGAGAATCTCCCCCGCGTCCTGCCACGCGGTCTCGCCGCCAGCCTCGACTCCAACCACTGGGAGGTAGGGGGCGCGCCGCGCTAGTTTTGCGCCGGAAAAAGATCGCGATGATTTTTGATAAAAAATCAGTAAAAAATAATGAAAAGTGGCCGCAGTACGTGCGCGCCTTAATGTGTCGCGTTTCAGGATACAGCTGCTGAGTGATTTTGTTACGCGCTTTTTTAGTTTCTCTGAATAGCGAACGCAGCAACAGCTACTGTCACTGCTAGTCTGTCACTGCTACCGATTGACCTCGTCACTCCCCCGTCGTTGCGAGTGTCACATGTGGCGCCACCTACTGTGTTAATTTTGCCTTTTTGCGTGCAGGTGGCGCCGGTGTTTGCCTGGCTGCAGCACGTCGGGGGGATCAGCGAGAGTGAGATGCTGCGGACGTTCAACCTTGGCGTCGGCGCAGTGCTCGTCGTGTCACCAGAGGGCACCAGTGAGGTGCTGGCGGCTATACGGCAGTCGGGCGAGAAAGCATGGGAGATCGGTGTGCTGGCAGAGAAACATGGTGCGAATGTTCGTGTGTCGATGTCTGCAGATTCTGATGTGCTCTTACAAGCATGCGGTGATACGAGTGATACGATGATAAAATAAAAATAATAATATGCACAAAATGAATTGTGCATGAATAGTAGTTAACCTCTTTGCCCTGTGTGATTTATAGGCAGTTCTAGTCAGTTGTTGTTGTGATAGAATGTTCTAAAATGCTTGGCAAAAATAACGCACGTGAAAATGTGTCAAAGTTGTTCTGCTTTCATTTACCTAGCAACAATATCCTAGGAATTAGCATAGTAACATCACCTAGATAGATCGGTCAGTACAGTGATTAATGTGGTAGTCGTTATCATCTTAGTGAAATAGTTTGTACCATGAAAATTCCTATTGGCTTCAAAATTTTTAGGTGTTAAGAATCGGTCCAGATTTTGCGTAAAAATATATGATCGTTTGTTTCATTGATTGGCCATATTGCCGTATACGATAAAGGCGATACACCCGGGGTCATCGTCTCCAACCTTGGCGAGTCTCTCGAGCGAGCGCTGAAATGCTGCGACGTGACAGCGGCGACGGCTGCAGCGAATCACCTGACGGAACATGAGAGCGCGCGTGCGCCGCGCGTCGCCCTTCATCTGCGCAAGAAAGTCGGTGTTCTCATCTCCGGCACGGGTAATACGTCTGTTCAAGATACTAACACGAGAAAACTACTGAATATCTTTAGAGTGATTTTTTCTTTATTCCAATAAGACACGTCCAAACATGCTAGCTGCTCCATCCTCACTCACACTTAGACTCGGGTGTGCACTGCCGTTCCGCGTATATCCGCTCACGTGACCAACTAGCTTCTCTTCTCGTAGCTGGCTACTGTCGCGCTGTGCAGCATGGTATATGGTGTACTCAATATACATTATTATGAGATGCAATCCTTAACAATGTTTGTAGGAAAGGTGGTCTTCATCGATCTCGCAAATAATGTCTGCAATAGCGTGGCCGTACGTAACTGCAACAGTGCTGTAGTAACTACTCTAATACCTATATGTTGTGTAATTTCTATCATGACTCGATATAAAATGTGTCATATCTGGGAGACTAGGGTCACAGTGTCACACTCATTTTCAGATGATTAATGTATACGCTGCTACAAAGTGCACACTAATCTCATACTGACTGTATTCACACTGCGCGTGTAGCAAGGTTCACACTATCACAATTCTCGTTATAAAACACTAATGGTGGCTATAGAGAGAATGTTGCGACAACGTCGAGATTGGTGAGAATGTGAGGCAATTGCTGCTCTTTGTAGGTGAGAATAATTTGTGGCTCAAGTGTCGTCATGAACATATCTTTGCAGTAATAGTGACGTCTATTAAATGATGTGACAGTATCTCTACAATATTATGCTAGTGTATAGACATGTTCGTGGTGTCATCTAACGGTCACGTATTGCTGTGTATATAGGTACCAACCTGCTAGCTTTAATAAACAGCTGTCGAGACACGACCACCTCTGCTCAGATCGAGCTTGTAATATCCAACGTGGCAGATGCACCGGGACTGCAGCATGCGAGGGATGCCGGGATCCCGACACAGGTCTCTCTCCACGTCTCTATTTCTCTTTCTCTTTCTCTTTCTACCCCCTTTCTCTCGCTCTCTCTCTCTCTCTCTCTCTCTCTCTCTCTCGTCTTCTCTCATCTGGTCTTCTCTCTCTGCTCTCTCCCCTCTCTCTCTCTCTCACTTCTCTCCCTCCTCCTCTCTCTCGTCTCTCTCTCTCTGCTCTCTACTCTCGATCCTTTCTCTTCTCTCTCTCTCTGTGTTTGTCTCTCTTTCTTTCACGGTCTCTCCTCTCTCTCTGCCTCGCCTGCTCTGCTCGTCTCTCATCTGCGTTCTCTCTCTTCTCTCTCTTCTCTCTTTTCTCGGTCTTTCTCTCTCCTCTCTCTTCTCTCTCGTCTCTCTCGTCTATCTTTGATATCGCCTGCTTTTCCCTCTCCCCTTCTCTTTTACTCACTTTCTCTTCCTCTACTTGTGTCAATTCGTACTACCATGCTCAACCATATCTATACAGTGTTTCATGTATTAGCATGTCAACTGCAGAGGCTAATTTGAAGGGTGAAGAATTATTTGCGTTTTTAACGGAGACCACTATGGTGGCGCCTGTAATGCTGTGTGAGTGCCCGCTTTCTGTACACCAATGCATTAGTCAGTGGTCCATGTGAGTTTATAGGTGGTAGTGTGCTGTAGTGTGTTACCATCATAGAAGTACTAGGCTTGTTCAGTGGCTGCAAGACGCTCCACACATCTCTCTTCCTTCCTCTTCTCTTTCTCGCACAGGTTTATCAGCCACAAAGCAGTTTAAGACGAGGGCGGAGTTTGATGGCGGTCACTAGATGTGCTCTCGCGTGGCCGGGCGGGCACTTTGAGCTGGTCTGTTCTGCGGCTGGGATTCATAGAATCCTCACAGGTTTGCATTCCTCCTCCTTTCCTAGAACATTCGCGCTCCTTTCTTTCTCGCTTCGCTTCGTCAATACTTCATTTCTTTATTTTTCCATCCTCTTTCCTTCTTCTTATTCATCCTCCCTTCTCCTTCCTTCCTCGACCGCTTCTTCTTTCTTATTTATAGCTTGATCCTTCTCAATTCTTTTTCCTGGTCCTGCATCCTTCCTCCATCCTTTGTCATTCGTGCTCTTTTCCTTCTCCATCCTCACCTTCCTGATTCTGTTTGCATACTTCCTCGCATCTTTCCTCTTCCTTCTTTCCATTTTCCTACTTCCTTTGAGTTAAAACCTGATTGGTCCTGGCGGGGGCAGTAAAAAATTACGATTTACTATAAAAAAACTAGTAGCGGCTTTTTGTGTCATTCTGTACGGAGTATGTAGTAGCGTTAAGGGTAAAACCATCTTCTTATTCCATTGACCTATGCTAAAATGAGTGGAAGGGGGCGTGGAAGTTTCGAAGAAAGTTTTTGTGGGAATTCTCCATACCGAATATACATAAGATGTTTTCCAGGTGAGTGTCAGAACCTTCTTAGGAGAGGTTTTGTTTAGAATTTTTTCCGGGGGTGGACGGGGGGATTTCGCATGAGTGTGTGTTTAAGATTTTTCAGCCGCGTTGTGTGGAATTTTTCGGGAGACTGTCTGGGAATCTTCCAGGAGAAGTTTGATGAAAAGTGGCGAGGGCGCTTATCAACATTCATCCGTCGTGCTGCCTGCTTTCAAGGGTTTGCAACGCTCACGAGGCCGTTGCTGGAGCTTGGTGAGACTGAGCGGCTGCACGGTGCACTATGTCGTGTACGTATCCTGTGCGCATCGATAGGCAGGCTCAGACGCACATGGGGCTTTGTATCTCACTGTCAGACATGAGTAATGAAGGGTCGAAGGCATCTTGGTGAAAATGTGAAGTAACATGCGCTGTAAATATGACAGTTTATATCCAGCCACTACATTGTGATTTGTCAAACCCTATATGTTATTTTCATCCGTGAGTGCTGTGTTGTCATTTTTTGGTCCTCTCATCAAACGCACACATACAGGTGGTTGATACAGTAAATATATATCATGCCAAGTTGTAACACATAAGTCACCACGCACTACATTGTCATCTGTCATCGATGTGGCTGTCATTTGTCTCTTGCCACTTGAGGATGAAGGTGATACAGTATATTGTGTGAATGTGAGCAATTGACATCTGTCATTTGTCATCATCACCGTTATATTGTCTTCTGTCATCACCACTAATATGGCTTTATCATCACCCACTATATTAATTGTCATTCGTGTCTCGCCGCATGCAGGCGGTTGATACAGTATATAGGATAAAAAAAGACACAGAAAGATGTCTCACGCGTCATCACCGCTGTATTTAAATTGTCATTCGTGTGTCTCCCGCAGCGCACGCGGAGGAGGTTAATACAGTATATAGAGTAGAATAAGACAAAAATACGGTCCTCATGACCCGCTGTATTAAATTGTCATTCGTGTGTCTGCCCGCACGCACGGCAGGCAGAAGGTTAATACAGTATATAGAGTAGATAAGAATACGTTGCATGACCGCTGTATTAATTGTTCATTCGGTGTGTCTCTCGCACCCCGCAGGAGAGGTTGATACAGTTATATAGAGTAGATATAGACAAATACGTCTCATGACCGCCTGTAATTAATTGTTCAAATTCCGTGGTGTCTCCACGCAGCGGCACGCAGAAGGAGTTCGATACAGTGATATAGAGCTAGATAAGACAATACGTGCTCATGACGCGCTGTATAACTTGTCATTCGTTGTCCTCCGCACGCACGCAGAAGGTAGGTTGAATACAGTATATAGAGTAGATAAAGACAATACGTCTGCATGACGCTGTAATTAATTGTCATTTCGCTGTGTGCTCTCGCACCCACGCAGCGAGGAGGGTTTGATACAGTATATAGAGAGATAAGACAATTACGTCTGCATGACCGTGTATTATTGTCATTCGATGTGTACTGCTCGCACCCACCCGCAGGAGGAGTTGATGACGAGTAATAGAGTAGAATAAGACAAATACGTCTCATGACCGCCTGTATTAATTTTGTCATTCGTGTGCTCTCCCGCACGCACGCAGAGGAGGCTTTGCTATAAGTATATAGAGTAAGATAAGACAATACGTCTCATGAACCGCTGTATTAATTGTCATTCGTGTGTCTCGCCGCACCCCACGCAGGAGGAGGTTGATACAGTATATAGAGTAGATAAGACACAATACGTCTCATGACGCTGTATTAATTGATCATTCGTGTGTCTCCCGCACACTGCCGCAGGAGGAGGTTGATACAGTATATAGAGTAAATTAAATACGTCTCATCGACCGCTGTATTAATTGGTCATTCCGTCGTGTGTCGCCCCGCCACGCACGACGGAGCGAGGTTGACGCAGGCGGGCATTGCCTCCGTACGGAAGCGCGCTGCGCGTGCGCCCCGCGGCCGACCACCGTCGCCACGCGTCGCGCGCGCATCAAGCGTAGCCGAACCACGTCGCCTAGCCGCGCGCGACGCTCATCTGAGTGGCGGCGGCCAGCGTCCACCTTGCGCGGCGGACGGTCCGCGGTGTGCTGAGAGGCGCACGCGGAACACGACGCGCGAGGTGACAGTCTACACGAGCAGGCCAGTGGCTGATGAGCCGCGATGCGTCGCTGGCATGCCCTGCAGCCGCCGCCTCGCGACAAAAATACGGCCGACGCAGCGAATCGTCGGTGATAGAGGACGGGAGAGAGCTAGAGCGCGCAGTTCTACCCGGCAAGGTGCGACGTTGCGTACGCGTGTACTTAGTAGCAGAAGTGTGTGGTAATCGGTGGCTTCACATATTGCGCCCTTCTGCGGACATACCATCAGTTGATGATTCCGGATTCTTGTGACAGATTGCGTCATGTGAATTCGCTCGCGCGCTGCGTTTGCGTAATCTACTTACGCGAAGAAACTCGATTGGGCAATTGGTTTTTGGATTGCGTAATTTGTAAGAGACATTAATTGAATTGTAATAAATTGTTATTAAAGCCGACAAACACTAATTTGCGTGTTTTGTTTTTAATTTAATTACTGCAATGGGTTAGTATCTAGAATCTTCAGAAATAAAAATAATCGTTATTTTGATGAGGCACAACAGCGTTTTCCTGCGTTAACACTGAGTCGTTCCACAATAAGAGCTTTAAATCGCGACGATCAGTGTATACTAGTAAAAATCCGCAAAAATTGTGGAGTAAGCTGTCGTTTTATTTGGCGATACATTATTCCACAGAACATATAAAAAAAATCGTTAATGAGAGCTGATGGTTCAATTGTTATACAATCGAATTGTCTGTCGGAGAAAATAAAGAATCGTCAGCATGCAGTCATGGCTTGCATAATGTAATGCTATATAATTTAATGCATATATAGTTATACTAGTTATTATCTCAGTGTAACTTTTATTGTACTATAAATGCTTGGCTCGACAGTCAATGAGTATTACAATGTTTTTAAAAGCCAACGCCCATTAAAAATACACGTGATTTTGCTGATAATACATATTCATACATGTATATATGCTAGTTAAAACAACCCGCATCCGCACCAATATGCGTAAGTGTTCAAATTAACGTCTTCTTCAAGTCACCCATCAATGTTTATCACAAGACCATGTAAGCAACAGACATATATATATAATATCATACATATATATACATATATATCACACACACACATATATAGTATATATAATATAATATGTAGCACTAGATTAAACAGCAAGACATCAACTTTTTGCCTTGCTTACTCAGAGTGTTCCACGCCTTGGCGGATGCATCAGACAAGCTTTAATAATAATCTATAAATATATATCATTGGCAGACAATTAATGCTCCTGCATTGGTATACTGGCTCTTCTATCTGATCTGCTGCATTTTATTTGACTTTATATAGAGCCCACTCCAGTTACCACATCGCATGATTGTGGCTGATGCGTACGATATGCACAGCTACCCTAACTGTAAAATTATGCAAAAACCTTTCTAGTTAACTGCGGTAGTTCTCGGGAAATTTCTTAAGTTAAGTAAAATATGTTCTACAGTCCGCCCTGCATATTTGAGCGCCCGCTCAGTATTTTATACAACCGTCCCTGATATTTCTCTGCAAGCGTCGAGAGTACATCGTCGTACATAATAGTGCTATAGACACAT